CGCGCTACACTGATGAATCCAACGAGTCGCTTGCCTGGGTCGAAAGGCCCGGGTAACCTTCTTAAGGTTCATCGTGACGGGAATAGATTGTTGTAATTATCGATCTTGAACGAGGAATGCCTAGTAAGCGGGAGTCATCAGCTCGCGCTGATTACGTCCTTGCCCTTTGTACACACCGCCCGTCGCTCGTACTGATTGAATGGTCCGGTGAAGTGTCBGGATTGCGGTGATCTCGGCGGTTTGCCGCTGGGGGTGCTGTGAGAAGTTCATTGAACCTTATGATTTAGAGGAAGGAGAAGTCGTAACAAGGTTTCCGTAGGTGAACCTGCGGAAGGATCATTGACACGTGAATGGCCAATCTTCGGGGTGTGGGACGCTGGCTTGCTCGCCTTTCCACCGCCTTTTGCCCCAATCCTCCCTGCATCCGCTTTTCTCTTCCGTTTCAGCACCATCTTGGGCTTAGTGCCCAACTGGCAGCTGGCCTGGCGCAGAGGGACGCGTGGTGTAGGTCGAGGGTGGGGGGAGTGGGCAGGGTCCGGGGCCTTGTGGCGTTGCTCCCCCTTTATCCCGTCTCGCCTCTGCTGGTTGTTACCTCGGCCCAGCCCCACTCTCGACTTCTGGTCGAGATGGCGGTTGGTCCGGGCACGGACAGCCCTGCGGGAGGGTCAGGGGCGGGATGTCGGGTGGTGGCGGCTGTCCTCGGCCTGCGTACCCCCGCTCCTTCCCGTCTCAGCTTTGTCCAGACCTCCTTTCCATCCCAGCCTCGACCTCGGCTTCTTGTGGAGCTTGTGGCTTGTTTGGGGATCGAGGGTCGTGGTACAGGCTAGGGGCGGGGTGTGTTGCGGGGTCCTCGGCCCCTCCCCGTTTCGTCCTGCCTTCCTTCCCAACGGGGTTCTCCTTTCCGGACAGATCGGCGTCCTCGACACAGTCGAGGTGGTGTGAATCTTGGGGTGGAGGGCCGTTGTGGGAAGGTTTTGGTCGTGAATGGGGTGGTGTCGGGTTGGGGGGGGGGGAGGAGACAGCGCTTGCACCCTCGTTGCCCCGCTGCTCCCCGGTGCCCTTCCTGGCCCCCCGAACAGGGGGTCCGGCGGGCCCGTGGCAGCGGCTGGTGGMGACGGCTTTGCAACTTCTTATTGATGTACCTGCTCTGATTTGTCGCTGTCTGGGTTGACGGCCCCCCTTCTGTTCTGGTCGAGGGGTCGGTCCTGTCGGAACGGCACCATATTGTAGAGCTCTCGACAAACAAATATCTTGGCCCTCGCAACAATGAAGAGCGCAGCAAAATGCGATACTGAATGTGAATTGCAGAAATCCGTGAGYCATCGATACCTTGAACGCACGTGGCGCCCAAGGCTTCTGCCGAAGGCATGCCCGCCTGAGCATCATTGGATTCCTCACGACCTCAGCACCTTCCGTTTCGGAGAGTGGTGGGGTCCGTGGTGGTGGCTTCCCTCACTTCCCACTTGGAGAGCGTCAATAGCCTAAAGTGGAAGGGAATTGGTGAGCCGGCCTGTGGGGGCCGCAGCCCAGAGTGGTGCGTTTCGCTCCGCCTTGTTGTTGCCCTCCAGCACCCTTTTGTGGGTGGTGGTCTTCGTTTCCCTGAAAACGGCACRTAAGGTCGTCCCTCCGGTTTGTGTGGTCGCTGCCTTCCATTCGCTCCCATCAGCTTGGGGTGGGCTTGCGGTTGGGGGTGTCGGCCTCGAGCTGTGGAGGTACGTCGGGCCTTGCCTTTTGATCTCAGGTCGGGCGGGAGCACCCGCCCAATTTAAGCATATAACTAAGCGGAGGAAGAGAAACCAACGAGGATTCCCTTGGTAGCGGCGAGCGAACCAGGAATAGCCCAGACTGAAAATCCGGGGGCTGTGGTGCTCCCTGAATTGTAGTCTTGAGAGGCAACCTCTGCAGCGGGCCGTGTACAGGTTCCGTGGAAGGGGACGCCGAAGAGGGTGACAACCCCGTCGACCGCCAGACCCTGCTGCGCAACGAGGTGTTGTCCAAGAGTCGGGTTGCTTGGGAATGCAGCCCCAATTGCGTGGTAAGTCCCATCCAAGGCTAAATATGTGCGAGGGACCGATAGCGAAGAAGTACCGCGAGGGAAGAATGAAAATAACTTTGAAAAGAGAGTTAAAGAGTGCTTGAAATTGCCGAGCGAGAAGCGGATGGAGGGGAAGTCGTGCGCTCCCGTCTGGGCAGGGGTGGACGACGACTGTGTTGTCGCCCCCCTTGTTGGACGTGGGGTGCCAACCAGCATGGGCTGCTGTGACCGGCATTGCGGTGGGGAGCGATTGAAAGCCCCCACGGGTGGCCGTCACGGCAGTCGAGGATCTTGAGCACGCGCCTGTTTCGGCCGGCCCGTTCGGGTTCCTGCGTGTTCGGGATGCTGGCGAAATTCCTCTATCCTGCCCGTCTTGAAACACGGACCGAGGAGTTCAACGTGCATGCGAGCCGGTGGGTGATTAACCCACGAGGAGGAAGAAACCTGAGTGGCGGGAACCCTGTGCGGGTGCACCGTCCGCCAACCACGATCTGCTGTGAGAGGTTTGAGTGTGMGCATGCCCGTTGGGACCCGAAAGATGGTGAACTATGCCTGAGCAGGGCGAGGCCAGAGGAAACTCTGGTCGAGGCTTGCAGCGATACTACTAACGTGCAAATCGTTCGTCGGACTTGGTTACAGGGGCGAAAGAGTAATCGAACCGTCTATTAGCTGGTTCCCTCCGAAGTTTCCCTCAGGATAGCTGGAGCTGTTGAACAGTTTTATCGGGTAAAGCGAATGATTAGAGGCCTCGGGGGTGAAACACCCTCGACCTATTCTCAAACTTTAAATAGGT